TGGCCGCCAGAGGTACACACTCATGTATGGCACACGGCACTCACGCGGTGATTGCTTGATAATCTCTTTCCGACACACTTCTCTGCCAACTTTGCCTATTTATAGCATCAAGTCTGTCACCGATTTGCTCCTGATTGGCACTTATTACGAAAATGCTATTATTTTTAATTCTTAGATTTTAGTCAATATTTTGTTTAGAAATTAGAACAAAAAATTGAATCGCCCGGTAAAACTTCCAAGGAGATAAGCCAATTCGGCCTGTCGGCAAAATATCTGGAATCGCCGGACATCAGCCCGATGAACAAAAGGCAGGTGGGCGTCCGTGAGTCTTTTATATTGTGAGGACTCACCGTACAACATGAAAGGTCTGAGGCGACCCGAAGACTGACGAGTATCGAGTTTGATTTTTTTAAAAGTATGCCAGGTTTATGACAACAACTCGGAATGAAAACAGAAAAGGCTCAAACATTCATTAACATGAGTATCTCAATGGTTTTATTTTTTTAAAAAGCATAATATCATTCAAGTTCAGCAGGATCACAAAAGTTGACATGAATCAATCTCAACGTATACAGAAGCCGTTGTCTGTTGTTTAAGTAAACAAGCACAATAATTGTCATTCAAAGCTGCGGAGGAAACAAGACAGACAGAAAAAACAGAGAGAAAGGAAAGAAGTAGGACCTCTCAGTGCCGTCCCCCCCCCCTGCCCCCAGCCATCCACAGAGACCTTTTTCCCTGAGTTTTAAAGAGTACGCTGACGCTCCCCCTAAGGCAAGGGGATACAATATGGTGTGTAAATTGTTCCTTCTCGACTCGCATTCGAGGATCCTGCATCAGAATCTCTGCGACTTCATGTTTAAATAAGAATCGAAAGGAATAACTGGGATAAATGATTAGGGGGCAGATATATAAATACTGTATTTTATTAAGTCTATAGACCTACCCTGGTTGTCAACTTGCAGCCTGCAACCCCTTTACAAAGTTCTCAACAAACATGCCATCGTACTGTCTACCTACTTAGGTCCTCTCTTCACTTGTCTTGGCCCGCTAGAATAGGCTAATACTAACAAGGTCACCTTAGCAGAGACTACCCACCATTTCGGAACTTCACGGTAACATTGAAGATGGTTCCAGTAGGGAACGGGATAACATGTGCCCACATCCCTCGTGACTCCTTGGAGCAGAGGGAGATAGGACTAACGTTAACATGTAAAAAACCTCAACTAACAGAGGGCATGTCTTCTCAATAATTATTTACATAAACACCATCTCACATCATCATTTATCATCACCATCATTTCTAAAATCATCATTGCTCTCAGATCCTTGACATACATCTATATAATTATCTTGATCTATCTGTAACAGTTACATGTTATAAAAATTACACATGTAATACAATATTGGACACTATCATACGCACATTTTTTTACTAATCAGATGGCGTCAAAATCATAGAAACGGGCAAGGGACAAAAAAAAAAGAAGTAAATGTATGTTGACTCTGATAATGGTCACCCACTGCAAGACAAAACAAGATAACTGAAAACAAAAGAGAGGAGAAAAAAAAGAAATAGGAAATCACAAGAGGGAAGATATGTTTGAGACTAGCAGTACCCCGTGACAACACAAAGAGGATGGTATATGACTTGATGGACCTTTATACCACTATATGTGTCACGACGCGGTGGAATCAGGCGCTCATCAATTTTTTATTTTAGGCATGTGGAGTTATTGGTATCAGCCTAAAGCTTGTTCATTTGCATTGCTTTGGAAGGAAAAAATACCAGTCTATCTTGAAAAGAAGTCAATATATTTGTGATCGAAGGAGGTGGGGGTCGCTTAGTTTCAGAGATAGAATTAGCGATAAAATGTCCGGCAAAGTTAAGTGACTTCCAAAGCTTGAGAGTCCATGGAAACTAAAAATCTGCAATTTCTGTGCCTTTACTCAGTGTATTTCAGTAAAATCCATACACTATAGATATGTGGTTTTAAAACAGACAGAGAAAGAATTGAGCCAAAAAACAAAAATTTGAGAAAAATCTCCAAACCTAGCAGAAAAATGCTTGTCTCTTCCATTTCAGTGTTTTGACGAGCACCTGATTTCACCTCGATGCCTCACATATATTATACACTAACAAACCAGAAATGCCACCCCAGAAACAAAGAGGTCTTCTCAAATCAAAGCACTAGGTAAAGTGGTTGTTAGCATATATAGCAGAAAAAAGGAAAGAAGACAGAGGCGAAACACAAAAGTAAATATTGCCCAGGTCCAACTGAGCAAAGATGTTTACGAGTAATATCTCACAATTTAAAGGATTGAAGGCTGTGGCATTATACATATACATCCCCCCATTGCTAGCATAGTCATTTCCACTTGAGTTGAACTCGTTCGAGTTCTTTTTCTTTACATTTGTTAAAATCAAATATTTATGTTGAGTTCAACTAAAACGTAAAAATACACTCAAGTTGAAGTGTCCTTATCTGCAAACATACAATTTTTGTGTGTGTGCATGTCACATCAAATGTTTCTCACATATTTTGACACGAATGATACTTAACGAAAAAATACAGTCATGTAGAGCCCACCAATGCATGATAAGCCTACATGATAGTCTTTTAGTGTTAATACTCAATGAAATAGAGAGGAACGGATGTGTGTCACATCACAGCACCATAACCACTCCTTTTGTTGCTCCACTTCCCCTGCCCTCAAAGCTGGAGTGCATGGCACATTCCAAGACAATGAAAAATACAGTAAAACTTTGGTAAAGTATTCACAGCAAAAAACGTACTCTCCGCTGTAATGTTCACTTTCTCAAGTCCGAATTCATATTTTTACCCTTTAAAAGCTACCATGTCTAAAATGTTCATGTCTAAAACGTACATGTTGAAAAAGTCGCTATGGCATTCACTTTTTCAAGGGATCGAAAGTTTAACAATGTGCATTATGAGAATAGAGCAAATGGCAAAAAGCCATAGTTTCACTGAACTCAGGAATAAAATGTAATCTTCCCACATTATGTTAGTTTTGCTGCCAGTGGCTGCTTGCTTCTCTTTCTCCCTCAAACAATCAAACACACACACACACACACACAAACCCACACACACACACACTGCACGATGATTAATGAAAAAAAAATGAATGATCCAGTCAATGCCATTTTCACATTATATTATACAAAAATTGAAATATGAACAATAGAACAAATTTGGTTATGCCCCTTGTTTTTGTGGTCCCAACGGGTAAGTTAAGCTTCTAATGAGTTGATTTTTTTTTTTCACTCCTCAAACGACTGATCTGTAGTCGACTGCATTTATGACCATGAAAAATGCTCTTCTTTTATGCAGTTATGAAAATAAAGACAATTTAGTGGCATACACAGCAACACCACTTTAGAGATGAAATGGAGAAAATATACACTGCTCTTGCATAAAAATATATATACATTATATACAATTAAATTCAATCACATTTTGAAAAGGTCGGTCTTTCAGCAGTCTGCTCTGGCAGCAAACCGTCACAAACCCATAGCAAAATTTCTTCAAGAATCATAAACATCATTTTCAACATAAAGTGCTAAAAACATACTTTTGAAACAAACACATTCAATCTATTTTTTAAAAAAATCCCATGACACCGACAACAATTTTAAAAACCAATTCTGGTAACTTACAATACAAGCATACTTGACATCTAATCCACAGTAAGCTTAAAACAACGCAACCTTGGGTTGTGAAACTCGGATATATAACAAAGTTGTCGGGTTTGACCTTCAATTTAGTTAAATGCAAGTGTTACTGTACAAAGTTTTCCCAACTCCCTGAGTTACAGAAATGGACGCTACAAGTTTTGTGGCAATGTAGGGCCTAGCATGCGGTAATGTTTGTTTCTACAGTCCAGAGCCCAATTCATACGGTAGCTCTAAATATATGTCTAAGCTAGCCTTTCATTGCTCTGTAGCTGACAAAACAAAAAGCAAATTAAAACAAAAAACTAAAACAGCCACACATGTGCTGGCCACCGTTCAAACCTCTCCTGATCCCGGCACACATTAAGTTAAGACATGTTGTCATGTCTTATGCATGGGTCAACGATGCATGTGTTAGTGTAAGAGAAGGCTTCTGATTGGTTGAATAAGATGTACACAAACAACTTCATTGAATCCGAATGTGCTGTTATGTGTGAGTTAATTTGTGAATTTCAATGAAAAAAAATCCAGAAGGCTGCTTAAACAAATTGTTGTACCCAAGTTTCACTGTATCTTATCTAACAGGTTAATACTATAATGACTTACACCTGATTAAAAAACGGAAGTGATCCCCCAATAAATCGATCATAACATTTAAAAAAATGATTTATTTGAAATAAAACACTGGTAAAAAAGTTTTACTACATCTCTAAAAAAAGGAAAGCCAAAAGGCCACTAATGTTTGCACCTTTTTTCTGACTGTTTTTTGTGGCTACGATATTAAATACAATTTTCCTACATAAAATCACTTATCTCTAACCCTTTGTGCCATGACCTCCTCAGGCTACCTTGCCTCACTGCCTGAGCTCCTGAGCGATATATTACTAACATTCATAAGAATGTCAGAATCACATTCCATATCCCACTCAGGGTAGTCCTTGTCATTACCATCATCTAATTCAGAAAGATTTTCAAAACAAACAATAACGTCTTGTGTAGTAAACGCTATTTCCCATATATGTGTTTTTTCTCAGGCAGCCTGGGTTGAGAATAGGGTCTCCCTGACCGCTGTACCGGTGGCAAGGCATACGGGCAGTTTTACGCGCCACCGGTGTACCGGTGACAAGGGCTCAAAGGGTCAAGGATACCTGTAGATATCATGCGTTCCACCAACCAGTTTTTTAAAAAAGGCACTTGTCTTTTAGTTTTAGTAAGAGTTTTACAGCACTTGCAACACAATAAGGTCATCTAAGTGCCGAAGAATAGATTATGTGTTACAAGAAAGTAACATACACAAAAAAGAAGGAGGGGAGAGAAGGACGACAGATGTTTGACAGGAAAGAAGGAGCAAACCACACCAGAGCACCCGCCAACCACCCACTGGCACTTGTCTTCCATAAAGAATCAAACAAGAGCAAAATAACAACTTACAGTTTCCACAGTTTCTTATTCCAACTCATAAAAGAAAACAGGAAGCAAGATGGGACTCTGTTTAGGGCAGAACTGCTTTGTGAACGTAGATCACATGCACAGCAGATGACCACTGGAGGTTGTCAATGTAACGCTCCAGCAGTGCAAGAGTCAGGCCCCCGCAGTAATCCATAGTCACTTTGGTGGTCGTGCCCATAGTCGGCGCGTCAATCAACATCGACTGCGAGGCATGTTCTTGAAAAGACTGAACTGTGCACTTCTCCAAAAAGCTCACGTACACCAGACCTGCAAAAAAAGAAAAAAAAGATAAAAAGCACCAAAAAACAGAAATATTTTCAAATGTTACACATTGTTATCTCGTTGAGGACACACACATTGTGGTCATCTGACAAATCTCAAAGACCATGTTGTTTTGGGGCATTTTAAAGAGGTTTATCACTTGATATTCTGTCACATTTTTCAATTCTCTTGTCTTTATCTGGATTTCCTGTGCAACAATATGTTCATGCCCACCACCGATCTGTTTTGTGTATACTGGTTGTTCAAAATGTGCAGCAACATCGCCTTTGGTCTACTGCTGGTCCGACATATGTGTCCGCTATATGCTTGAAGAGTTATAATCTCTGGGTCAAGTAACAGTCAAACTCTCACATAAAGAAGTTTTACCCCCCCCAACATAATGAATGCTGCACCATCTCTAGATCTATATATGCCTACCATTTAAGTTTAGCAAATCCAGACGGTTACACGACAATTTTCTACATTATGAAAAGGAGACACTGAAGTCTCCACCTAAGATCCCACCGCTTTTGATCCCGGTAAGATCCCACTGTTTAAAAAAACCCAGAATTTTTACTGTATAAAAGTCACCCCTATGATCCTGCTCTGATTCACTGTGAAAGTCTACATTCGGCGAAGATCCCGCATTAAAGATCATAATTTAGGGAACAAAAACCCAGGCGGGCACAGCCAATCAACCAAGAGTGAAAGTTTACGGACATTGAACTACCCGTTGCATCACAGATCAACTCCTCTCGTAAATGTAAATGTGATCACGGGTGCGTTGTAAGTCACGATGAAACGGTACAATGTTTGCCCCCAATGGGATCACACCAAGGTGTGAACTCGCCGAAGCATTTGTTTTCTCAAAACATCGAACTTGCATCTGAGCTCTCCACCTAAACTTACATCACACGCTGGGTGGGTAGGGCCTACAAGTTCGCTCCTGGCGGGATCACATCCAACTGTGAACTCTTCGTTGACTATTGCAGCAGTTGTCTCTACTCCCAAATTTGCGAGACAGACTGAATTTTAATTGGTGTCTTTTACAATAGGCCCTGGTTTTGTCACAACGTAATGATGCATAACAACAAAGGCTGGGGAACTTGATCAGAGATGGACAGCTATAAATTTTGGACAGGCAAAGGGGAGGGGCAACAGGATAAGCGTAGATCTTGAGACCCACGGTAGGATAATAAGTGAAAATGGCATGCCTTATACCACTGTGATACGTAAAGTTGATCACTCTTTGCTAACCTAAGTCATAAACCGACCCAGGGGTCACGTCAGTTCACTTTAGAACGAAGGGAAACCATTTTACTGGTTGTGTGCCTGAACATGGGTCACCTTAGATTCTTCCCTTGGTGTGCGGCTAAGATCCCGTCCGCCTAAGAACCCGCATTTTCCTTGCTCCTGAGCACCGAGATCTTACGCGGAGACTACTATATTACAGTTGTATCTAAATTCTCTGCCTACTGTTTTCTTTTTTCTGGGATTCAGACAGAACTAATTTCTGTTGCAAGAAAAGCACTATTTGTAGTGATGACAGAAAAATATTTAAAGCTGTCAAAAGTATGAGAGTGGGTCTTGATTTATAGTATCAATAGAAAGAAAAATAAAAGGACATCAGAATTACTGGCACAGAGCGAAGTGACAATGATAAAGAACCATTGTAATGTTTAAAAAATAAATACATTATAATGTAGAATAAATGTCATGTTAATGTCCCCCCTTTGGGAATGGCCTAAAGACACTTCAGTCAGTAGCACCGCCCCGGGAGGTAGAATAATGTCAGTCTCCTATTTTTAGAAACATCCAATGTTGTTACGGGTTCATCAGAGGTGAAAGAGGCCAGTGCAGCAAAGTTAGGAGATTCCTGGTCAATTAACACTTGATAGCCACACAGCAATACTGCCGTAAGTTGACAAAAGGCTTTTTTTGTCATTTTTAGTGCCAATTTTTAAAACCCTTCCAGCCCCATGGGCATATGTGTGAATGAAAGACAGCTGCAAGAAGGAGCCAGGGAGTAGCAGTAGAAATGCTGCAGAAAGAGTCAGGAGGAGGTGGGAAGGGGGGCAGAAAGTGGAGATGAAAGTAGATAACAGAACATGGTTAAAGAGCAGAAAAGGAAGTGAAAGGATAAATTTTCCGAGAGAAAAAATTTTTCCGTCGTTGTCCGGATTCAAACCCGGGACCTATTGAATGAGAGGCAAACACCATAACCTCTAGACCACGAGAGCCCCCGAAAAGAATTAGAAGGATCAGTCCACACAAGAGCACCTGCCAACTGCTCATGGCTGAGAGAGAGAACTTCTCAACTTCTTTAGTTTTCATCTATTTTTAGTAAGAGTTTCACAGCACTTGCAACACAAATAGGGTATATAAGAGCTGAAGATTAAAGGTGTTACTACAAGAGAGTAAATCACACAAAGAAAAGAAAGAGGAGAGTAAAGGAAGATAGAAATATGATCGAAAAGAAGGAGCAAACGACACCAGAGCACCCGCCAACCACCCATGCAGAGAAACTGAAAAGAATTAGAAGGACCAGACCACACAAGAGCACCTGCCAACCATCCATGCCAGACAGAAAGAATTTCTCACCTCCTTCAGACACAGCTGCAAACAGGGGTCCGTAGAAGGTGAAGTCTCTGACGCGGTTATGGTAGAATGATGTGTTCGCCCTGGTAGGTTGCAATGAAGAGCCTTTTAATACCAGCTGATGAAAGTCACTGAACACTGGTTTGCCCTCTTTATTCTTAGAAATGTCAGTAATCCTGATGAGACCATCATCTGAAATCAGTACATTGAAGTGAAAAGGCATGCACTGACACAGTAACATCCAACTAACTGGCGTTTGTCTGTTCGTTTGTTTTAGTAAAAGTTTTACAGCGCTCGCAACTGCATAAGGTCATATGAGCACGCGAAAAAAAGTTGGTTTCATTCGCAACAGTTCTCTGCACGGCTAGGCTCGAATCAATGATCAGATTTTAAATAATTAAAAATTTTGAGGTAAAATAACAATCTCAAAAATGGTAATCCGCTCTAAAATCAAAATATATGTATTTACAATTTTCCATAAAGGCCAATGGTCTTTATAAAATCAGTTTATTCTTAGTAAGTGTTCTACGGCACTTGCAACACAATAAGGTCATATAAGAGCCGAAGATTAGAGGTATTACAAGAGAGTAACAAACACAAAAAAAGAAGGAGGGGACATAAGGACGATAGACTTTTGATAGAAAAGAAGAAGGAAACCACACCAGAGCATCCGCCAACCACCCTGTTATAAAATCAAGTATTCTGTTGGGATCAACAATGGAAAACAGATCTTGCAATTTTTTGCATCTAAAATATTTCCTTCAGGTCTCTCCGAAGTCTAGACATTCTGTTAAAATATATCTAATGATAAAATCTGAGTCGCAACCGACACAGAACGGCTTCTCATCGCCCTGAAGGAGGTATTTATGTGTCAGTGACATGTGTCCGATGCGTAATCGAGTAAAAATGACTTCGTCTCTTCTGGAGAGGCCAGAAGGTTTTCGCAAACCCAGTTGGGCTTACTGTTGTGTAATTTATTATTCTCCTGCTTTTTCCAATGAGTCTCTCACAGACTGGAGGTGTAGTTTTTGACTTTATTTTTAAAGTCAATCTGTGGGAGAGTGTTCGTCGTTGATCCCAACAGAAGGGACAAGGATTCTTTCGCAAGGAGGTCCACTTGTTCGTTTTCTCGGGTGCCCACATGTCTAGGTAGCCACGCATACACGATATTGTTCCCGGTTTCAGCCAAAGTGTATATTTTTTGTTGTAACTGAACTATTTTTGGGTGTAAGAGTATGTAGTTTGTAAGTGAGGTGATGCAAGACAGAGAGTCAGATAGGATAAGGATAGATTAAAATTTGTTAGGAGAATTTTCTACCGAGTCCAGTGCCATGTCAACGGCAGTGGCCTCTGCAGAGAAAATGGGGCTTCGGGATGGAGTCTCCTCTGGTGAGTACAGTTTGAAGACAGGGCAGCGGCGCCAACAGCGGAGTCCAATTTAGAGCCATCTGTGAAGACAAGCTCCGCACAGGGGTATTTTTCTATAAGTTTTTTGTATTCTGCTTTAAATATTTTGGTGTTTATGCTTGCTTTGTCGGGTGTGGTCAGCAGTAAGTCTACTTTTGCCTTGGTGAGGTGCCACGCAGGGAGGTTGGGGAAAAGAAATTGTTGGATGTCTTGTTCGGAAAAGTGTATGTTTTTGAGGTCCTCAAGGATTCTGAGGCCGAAGGGTTAGATGAGTTTTTCATTGTTTTGGAATTTGTTTATGGTTTCTGGGTTTGTTTTAAAAATGCAGTTGTGTGCGTTCTCTGGTGTTGAGCTCTGTTTAATTGCGTATTGTAGTGAGAGTTGTGTGCCTCTGAGTGTGAGTGATGGTAAGTTTGCCTCGGCCTGGAGGCTCTCCACCGGAGAAGTGTGGAAAGCCCCCAGAGCGAGGCGGAGTCTTTGGTATTGCACTGGGTCTAGCCTTTTTAGGATGTGTAGTTTTGCCGATCTGTAGACTTGACAAAGTAGATCTTGATTTTTCTGATCAAGCCTTGGTGTCACAAACACTTACATTAGATCACAATCGCGACGGGCAAAAACGGAGTGATGTACCGCGGCTAGGGTTCACTGAAAAGTCTTGCTGGTTTCGTCACTCCATAAGCAGGTTAATTTGCGACTGTTTACCAAATCTTTACAACCGTCACGCCACATTTACTATCATTTACAACCTTTACGACCAGAGCACTGAATTTAACGACTTAACGACCTTGCTGGACACCCTGACATTGACACCTTTCATTTAAAAAAAACAAAAAAACTTTTGCATTGTTCTCAGAGCAACATGTGTTTTACACCTACCCTAAAGCATCAATTACGTTTTTCTGACAACAGCATTTGCATCTTTCTTCAGTTAGTGTCAATTATACGTCTTGCATTGACCAGTAACCACACCTTTCAGATATCAGCTCTTACAAGTTCCTAAAAAAGGTATTCTCTTGACACGTAACAGAACAGAATCAGCCGAGAAGAGGCACAAAGAGAGAGGTGTGACGGGAGTGTATGGAAACATGATTTTGCTTTGCAATGCCACTGAGTCGAGCCATGTACCCACCTGTCAAGATTATAAGCAGACTGCCCCTGAGAACCATTTTTTGCACACAACTCCTCAGCTGATAACACGCGTATATCTTTGGCAGCACCACATCAAGCGGTTCATTGTCTGGGTTGTAGTTTTCTTTGAAATTCGTGATCGCTGTAGCAAACACGAGACGGTAAGATGAATTCACAGCCACTAGCTGAAAGAAAATTTTACACAGCAACAAATAGAATAAGGCAAACATATGTACATTCTCTATACTTAAGGTGCTTTGGGTATGGTTTCCCACAGAAATGACAGTGACAATTACAAAAATTGCTTAATCTCAACTGGTTCTACCTGACAACTGTAGGAAATACTGGACTGTTAATCAGTACTCACAAACCTTGCCTAAATGAATATGAATACAAGGATCATGGAAGTTTGTTACATTACACATGGACTTATCTGGACACTTGACAAAATGAGTGTGTGCCTCGAGAAAGATTCCCATTGTCGGAAATTTTGGATTTTGAAATGAAGGCACACTCTTGTGGCAAATTCAATGCTGAACACGCTGATGAAAATTTTGTACAAATATCTAAAGTAGTTTTTAGGATATACAACATTTTGTAACACAAGGCGTAAAAAACAAAAGTCTGGAGAAAAACCCAATTTCTAGCTCATTTTTAAACTTGGTAAAATACAACATGCAGCAAAAATGATTTTAAAAAAATTAAATAAGCCTCAAAATAGAGTAAAAATGTTTTCAATATAGTTATTAAGAAATGGTTAAACATCTGTTTTTGGATGGAACTAAATTTTTGACCAAGTACAATTTTTTTGGCCTTTTCATTCCGTTGCTCAAAAATAGCTTTGCTGACAATTTTTACTGGGACCTTTCTCCAGGCACACACACAAATTATGGAGAATTAGGTCTATACACTGTGTCATCTCGCACGCATCTTCCATGTGACACTAAGACAAGGTAAGAGAGCAAAGCAACATTTGCTGGTATTACAGAACATTTTCTGAGTAAATCTGAAATGCAATACAAGCAGTTAATTCTCACTGATGTACGTCGACTTTGGTATGGAAGCATGAAATCTATTTCGCAAACCGTGCTACAATATCCTTTTGCTATAGTTTTGTGTCTGAAGTACGCACAGAGGTACTAATGTCCTTTTCTCACATTTCGGCAGGGTTGCCAGGTTTCAGAGTTCAAATTAATGGAAAATGGAAGCTAAAGTTTAGTTATTTCCTTAGCTTGAGAGTTTGTGGAAACAGAAAATATACATTTTTGTGCCTTTAATCAACGTTTTTAAGTACAATCCACACAGGAATGTGCTCTTTAATGGACATGAAAGGTGTTGAACCCAAAAACAAAAATTCTATAAAAATTCCCAAACCGGCGGAAAAATGTCAGTTTCTTCAGTTTCATTATTTTGACAAGCGCCTGATTTCACCACACTCCCGCATATTTATAAATTTCAACAATACCAGTGTTTATAATAGAAAGGTGGATACATAGGCCCATAGGCTTGTAAAGTCTGTTTTGTTCTAAAATTAGCCTGTCAATTTTACTCACCCAATTTTCGCTCATCGCCATATTAACAACTGTGCTGTCAGGAAAGTCTATTGCCCGGCTGTATACAGATTTGTCTTGCTCCCAGCTGTCCCATAGAAGAAGTTTATCTTGGCCTTTAAAACTTCTTCCAAAGAAAGCTTTGAAATGATTCCATGAGCTGTATAAAAAAAAAATTAATATAAAAAAGGAAATAAATCAGTGAACAAAAAAGCCGGCACAATACAAACACATCTATTTTTTTAAAAACTGTGCTCGCAACTGCATAAGGTCATATGAGCATGCAGGCCACATCAAACATTTTCAGTTGGGAGGAAATTTAGAATTTTGCGCGGGTGGCGGCCAAAGCCTACTCTTATCGATTTGAGGACCACCAAGGGATCTTTAAAGAGCGTAACTTACACAAAGGACCTCCGAGATTCTTTTGCCCTTGCCCGAAAAGGCTAGGTGTAGATCTTTCTAACCACAAGATCAGGGGTGTGGCTGAAAGGCAGCAGTAAGAAGGAGCCAAGGAGAAGCAGTAGAAAGGCTGCAGAAAGAGTCAGAGCCAAGAGGAGGGGGCAAAGGAGGTGAGGGGGTGGGGGCAGAAAGAGGAGACGAAAGCAGACGCCAGATCATTGTTAGAGGGCAGGAAAGGATGTCATTTTTCCGTCGATATCCAGATTTGAACCCGGTACCTACTGAATGAGAGGCCATGAGAGCCCCCTCACAACATCTATGTACAGCACACAAAAAAATTAAAGTTTAGTAAAAGGCCCTTGAAAACATTTTGAAAACAGATTGAGGATGTGTATAAATTTATATTAATTTAACTGACATGATCTAAAGAAAAAAAAATTCAATGATCCTGCCATCACACTAGTCTACCACCATCACAGCAGTCTACAATTGCTCCTATGTCTTGTCTTGACTAGCTCCATTTCGAAAAAATGAAAAAACGTGTCTCCATTTTACGCTGAAATTATGCCATTAACTCTCTTGCCTTAAAGCTTCAAGACAGGAAGTAATATGATGTGACATGGAATCATTATAAAATAATTTTTTTAAAACCAGTAAAACATTTCTTTAAGGCTCTTTCAAAATTTGGGTTCCACTTTACATCTAACGATGGAAACATGTTCATTAAAAGGAAAACTATGAGATAACATGTGCATGACGCGTTGTCAAAAAGACTGGCTGAAATCTCGGGTCTATTAAGAGAAAGTGGTCATATTTCTTAAACATGGAAACAAGCTGATTACTTCCTTTAATCTTTTTGCCAATGTGCTTTATTTAAACAATAGAAACAAAAATAAAATGAATAACATCTTTAAAATATTTTTTAAAATAAGGAGTTAACTTTCAAGACAAATTTTGATTTGAAAATGACAAGACCCACAGAGAATTCAAGAATGTGCTCATAAAAACCCAGAAGTATTGGACAATATCATTTCCCAGCAAGAAAGTCATTTATAAGAATACAAATCATATCATGTTGATTAAGTACAACACTCACAAGTTCACACTATTTCTTTCATTAAAAATTTAATAAAATTGAAAGTAAAAAAAAAAAAGTTGGTCTTAAGCATTTAAATTTCAAATGTGAATCATATTTGTACAGACAGAATACTTTAGTAGTGCTACTATTTGGCTTTTAGAATTTACAGAATGTAGGCTCCTTACTCGCCAAAAAGTCATATGTAACAAGTAGAATGTACCTTCAAGAGTCAAGAATTGTAACTAGAAAATTCATGCAAATTTCTCTCCAATAGACTGCTTTACAAGTACTTCTAAGTGCTGTTCATACAGATATCTGGAAAAGAATATATTATTTTGCCTTTTGTCTCTGACAAGATTTGCATTTTGGGTGTTATGCAGACTATTTGTGACATAGGCAACATATATTTTTTCCCTCAAGTTTACGAGAAGCTCTCAGACGCAGGATAGAGGTCCAGACTGCTGCTGTACGCATGAGCCACAAAAGTACAAAGGAACAAGAAGAAAGAGAAGAGGTACAGTACAGAGGCAGTGTTTCAACAACAAAGCTACTTGGCAATTCGTAACTTCCACACTTCAAAAACTTACCACTGAACATGTGCATCTAATGTGATGTTGACTACTTCATTTTCTATATGACAAAAGTACTGGGAACCAAGCACTCTTCCTGAGGAGAACAACATCTACATCTGTAGAAAGCATCACAATATAAATTATATTTATTCTTGTTTGTTTGCTTGTATGAAGAAGAAACATAATATAATAACGATCATATACTCATGTAGCATAGGGGAAAAGTAAGTTTTAGTTTTAGTAGAGGTTTTACGGCGCTCACAACTGCATAAGGTCATATGAGCGCCAGAAGATAAGAGGTGTTACAAGAGAGTAACAAACATAAAAAAAGAAGAAGGGGAGATAAGTACGATAGTTTTTGATAGGAAAGAAGGAGCAAACCACACCAGAGCACACGCCAACCACTCACCTTGTTTGTTTGCTTGTGTGAAGAGGAGAACATAACATAACTATCATATACTCATTTAGCATAGGGGAAAAGTAAGGCAGACAGAAACGACAGAGGGAAAGAAAAGTAAGACCCACCAGTGGCAGCCTCCAACCATCCATAAACCGTAATTCAACTACCCTTTGTCATGTCTATCCCTGTCTATAACATGACATCACATATAACATCAGGGATGGAAACTGATCAGTCCCAAATTTACTGAACATTTCACGGGCTATACAGATTTGGAAAAATACACTTATTCAATTGTAGATTAGTACACGTAGTAGAATGACTCATCATTGAAAGGACACTTTATGGAAAATGACGGAGCAAATCAAAATTATGGATTTCCGTAAATTTACAGAAAATTTCCATACCTGTAATATGGGGAGTATACTTTCGCTTCAAAATTGACCCATTTTCATAGGTTTGGGATATACTTTTGGACTTCATTTTTTAAAAAGTCACTTGTATTATAGTTGCCGGTAATCATTCCTGAAAGTGAATGAATTTTCTTTAGTCGTCTATTGTGCAAAACCGAATCATCAAAATAGACATTCACAATGACTACTGAGCAAATGATAAAAAGTCACCTGCAAAAATGGTAACAAAACGAGGATATTCACATTCATAGGCAAAACTCAAATTTACCCCATCACCACTTTAGAGTCTTCTTCTTCTTCTTCTATCCCGTGGTTGGGGCAACCGTTGGGGCACCACTGCATTGGAAAACCAGCTCTCGCCATCTATTTTTGTCCTCTGCTCTCCTCAGATTGTCACCCATCGTCTTTCCTGTCCACTCTGTGATGTTGTCCTCCAATCTCCTTCTCTGCCTTCCTCTCTTTCTCTTTCCTTGTACGATTCCTTGCAGGATTGTTTTGGCAAGTCCTGTGGATCTTGTGACATGCCCATACCATTTTAGTTTTCGTCTCTTCCCTGTGGTCAGTAGATCTTCATATTGCCCTACTGCGTTGGTGATTCTCTTTGAAACGTGGTCTTTGTACGAGATGTCAAGGAGTCTGCGGTAACATCTCATCTCCGTGGTCTGAATCTTTTTCTCTAATTCTGCTGTTAGTGTCCACGACTCGCAGGCGTATAAAAATATTGAGATGACCAGTGAGCGCATTAGTCTAATTTTTTAGCTGTGCGTGATGTTTCTGTCCCTCCAAATAGGCTTCAATTTTGACAGCGCAGCTGTTGTTTGTGCGATTCTGGAGAGAATTTCTGGTCTTGAGCCTTCAACTGAGACGATAGATCCGAGGTATTTGAAGCTGTTGACGGTCTCAAGTTTCTCGCCCCTGACTTTGAAGTCCGCATTGATGCCATTGGTGTTATTGGTCATTAGCTTGGTTTTCTCGGCACTGATCTCCATGCCATAGGCTGCTGAGGTTGTATCCAGCCGCTCCGCTAGTGTGGCGAGCTCCTGTTCTTCTCCTGCTAATCCATTGATGTCATTGGCAAAACGCAAGTTAGTGATTGTCCTGCCTCCAATACTGATTGTTCCACTGTGGTCTTCCATAGTGTCAGTCATGATTCGTTCTAGGAAGATGTTGAAGAGAGTGGGAGAGAACAAACAGCCTTGCCTCACCCCGACCGTCGTCCTGAACCAATCCCCCATGCTGCTGTTAAGGTAGACTGCGCTGCAGGTCTTGTCGTGTAGTTGTTGTATGACGTTGATCAGGTTGGCGTTGATGTTATATTTCCTCATGGTAGCCCATAAGGCTGCATGCCAGACCCTGTCGAAGGCCTTTTTAAAATCCACAAAGATATGTATAGGTTTTGTTGGTGTTGGAGGTACCTCTCGCACAGTATTCTGAGGTTGAAGATCTGTTCTGTTGTGCTGCGCCCTGCTCTAAAGCCTGCCTGCTCTTCGGCAATGATCTTCTCTGTCTGTGGTTTCAATCTGTTCAGCATTATCTTCAACATAACCTTACTGGGGTGGCTTATTAAACTGATGGCGCAGTAATTCTGACATAGTTGCAGGTTACCTTTCTTGGGGAGTGTAATCACTAGTGATTGTGTCCATGCCGTTGGCCACTCTCCTGTCTGCCAGATCTTGTTGCAGATGGCAGTCAGAGTGCTTATCAAGTCCTTTCCCCCTGCCTGTATCAATTCACCTGGGATGTTGTCCACTCCTGCTGATTTCCCCTTCTTCAGTGCTTTAACTGCTGCTTCAACTTCTTCTCGAAGGATTGGGTGGTTATCCATGTTGGTTGCTGGGGGAACGTTAAGAATCTCGGGGTTTCTCGTGGCTTTGTAGTTGTACAATTCTGAGCAGTATTCTGTCCATCTTTTCAAAATGTCTTGTTCTGGGTATGCTCTTAGAGTGAACAAATGTGGAGACTTTTTATGTCACAGCAAAGTCAGAAGACAAAAACAAGAAGACAAGAGACTTACCCGCCACGCTCGCTCCCGTGGAGATGTGTCCCACTTCAGTTGTTCGGAGTGAAGCTGCGTAGCACAGTTTGTTCACTGCCTCGCCATTTATATTGTTGGAGGTAAAGTACACCATTGGTGGCCATGATTCGGCAGGAAATCCCTTGATTCTCAAAATTTTATGACCTTTCAGCTGATCAGCAATTTTCATAGCACCATCTGGAATTTGAAAAAAAAAATTTACTTTAGTTTAGTTTTAGTGATAGTTTTACGGCACTTGGAACACAATAAGGTCATAACAGTGCCGAAGATTAAAGGTGTTACAAGAGAGTAACAAACACAAAAAAGGAGGAGAGATAAGGACAATAGATGTTTCATAGGAAAGAAGGAGAAAAACCACACCAGAGCACCCGCCAACCACCCACGAAAAAAAGACTACTAAACTAAACATTAAATAAAAAAGAATACAGGGCAAAGTCAACTTTTTAAAAAATCCCCAAAACAAATAAGGACAAAGAGGTTTTGCTACTATAACAGAGGTTGATAGGCGGAAAAATAAAAATGGGTGTGACAACGCAACAAGTGACAGAGTCCCAGTGTCATCTTTCACATTCTCACTACATCCCATCCAGACAGCCAAAGAAGAGGGAGTTCGAGCCAGTAAACTACCTTTGTGTTTCCCATTGTGTAGATAAATACAGAATGAACTTCATCATTTATTTCACCAAAGGTAAAATGTTATGGTTAGAGAAAGCTTGGCCTCCTTTCCCCCAAAAAAAAAGCTGTCAACCATTACACAGCCTTGTTGTGAATAATTGAATGTCTGGCACCTCCACCCTTCCTCTACAAAATTGCCTCATTTCAGACATTTAAGAGATAGGTTGCTTCAATCCTGCCAGTGAGGGGCTATCTGTTCTGAGTGGGGTACTATTGCAGCGGAAAAAACCCAGCGGGAACCTTACAAAGGATCTTAAGGGGAGGAGCGACCCTTGATTTTGAAGATTTTGGGTCAGGCTATGCACACTGTGATGTTAGCTGATTTTTGAAGATCAACCAGTTCTTTGTCTAAAAATGGCATGGAGACGATAGAGAAAGTCTTTATTCTCCTCGTAAATTGCCTTTGAAAACATGAGGGTGGGTTAATGTAGTGAATTTTCACAAGAATTGTAGTTTTTTTGCAAAATGTCATTTTTAAAGTTTATTTCCTACTCCTTCTTTAATTTTCATACTTTTGACATGAAACTTTCAGGAAACATAGATGGCAAGGCAGCTATCAATGTAACAGAGAGATATTTGCGGAAAGGTTTTTTATACTTTGGGAAAATTCTCATATTTTTTTTTCTTTTGCACTTATTGAAAAAAACTCGCTGTTACGCTGATGGGGTCTGGTTCAGGTATACTCTCACCATATTTGGTCAAATTTTGTCAGTAAATAAGAAAGCCTCAGGGATTTGAAACTCATTGTTTATTTTCAAGATGGCGGCCGTTTCGATAGCAACCGCTGTCGCAACAAACATAGAAAATGGTCCTCAAGGGTCACTCCTCCCGTTAATATATTATTTCTTGTGTTTTTGATTGTTTTTAGTGTGACAGTGCAAATTCACCAGTGCAGTGTTTTGAGTGAAGCTCCACCATTGAGACAGGCCTACAGTTCAGCCACGTTAAAATGCCTAAGACCGGCAGGCAGAAACATGTTTTCAATGTCGTTCTGCCCCGTGAATTGAGACCACGTAAAAGGGGAAGGAAGGGAGGAGTACGTTCCAAAGCGAGCAGAAAAACTTTTAAACCGTTTTTACCTTCAATCTTAACTGGTAATGCAAGGTCATTAAATAATAAAATGGATGAACTCTTTAGTTTTAGTAGAGGTTTTAAGGCGTTCACAACTGCATAAAGTCATATGAGCGCCAGAACATTAGAGGTGTTACAAGAGAGTAACAAACATAAAAAGGAAGGAGAGATAAGGAAAATAGATGTTTGATAGGAAAGAAGAAGCAAACCACACCAGAGCACCCGCCAACCACCCACGGATGAACTCTGTTGTTGTTTTTTTATAGTAGAGGGTTTTACAGTGCTCGCAACTGCATAAGGTCATATGAATGCCAAGGGGTGGGTGTCAACAGAGAAGTCTTTACAGGGAATCAGACTTAGACTGCTCACCTCTCTAGCTTCAACAACACAAGGTCTGCTTCGACTATCAAGGCACCTCAAAATAGCAGGTCACAAGAGAGTGACAAACATACAAAAAAAGTAGAGGAAAATGACAATAGTAAAGATCAGGAAAGAAAAAGCAGCAGTTCCCTGTTGTAGATCAGGCACAGTTATGAGCGGGACATGAGTCAGCCCATTTACAATTCTACTATGCTTGAACGAGAAATGTCCCCCCTTTGGGAATGGCCTAAAGACACTACAGTCAGTGGCACTGGCCCGGGGGGTGATGAACTCTGTGCAAATGTTAGGTTTATGCACGAGTATAGAGAGGCCTCGCTTATTTGTTTTAGCAAGACATGGTTCATGGACAGTACTTGTACCAACAGTGTGGACATTGACGGATTCCATCTAGTACGTTGTGACAGGACGATAGACTCAAACAAAGAACGAGGCGGAGGAGTGAGTGTGTTTTTTTAGTTTTAGTAGAGGTTTTACGGCGTTCACAACAGCATAAGGTCATATGAGCGCCAAGGGGTGGATGTCAACAGAGAAGTCCTTACAGGGAATCAAACTTACTCTGCTCACCTCTCTAGCTTCAACAGCACAAAGTCTGCTTCGACTATCAAGGCACCCCGGAAATAGTGGGTCACAAGAGTGTAAAAAACATATAAAAGAAGTAGAGGCAAAATGACAATAGTAAGGATTAGGAAAGAAAAAGCAGCAGTTCCCTGTAGTAGATCAGGCACAGTTATGAGCGTGACATTGACGAATCAGCCCATTTACAATTCTACTGTGCATGAACGAGAAATGTCCCCCCTTTGGGAATGGCCAAAAGACACTTCAGTCAGTGGCACTGCCCCGGGGGGGGGGGGGGGGGGGGGGGGTGGTAGTGTGTGTGTATGTGAACGAGAGGTGGTGCAGCCGTAATAATATTCATGTGAAACGGCAACTGTGTACACCTGACATTGAATGTGTAACTGTTGTTACACGCCCATACTATCTACCGAGGGAATTTTCTAAGATAATAACAAACATAATTTATATTCCACCACAAGCCAATGTTAAAATTGCCACGGACACTTTGGTCGAAATGAATCATGAACAACAGTCTTCTTGTCCAGACCGTGTAATAATTATAACTGGGTATTTTAACAAAAGCTCTTTAATAACTTCTGCCCTCCCCACTTTCCATCAAAATGCTAATGCACCAACCCGTGAGGACAAAACTATGGACTTATGTAAATGTTTCTAATGCTTACAAATGTATCTCTCTAGCTCCAATAGGAAACTCTGATCATTGCATGTCTCTTTTATTACCAAAGTACAAACCTAAATTAAAATCTTCGAAGCCAATTTTAAAAAGTTGTCGCCATCTGGAGTGAAGAAAACAGGGAAAGCCTGAGAGGTTGCTTGAATCAACGGACTGGAATTTTTTAAAAGATTCATGTAATAGTATAGATGAATTATGTGAGACTATCACGGGTTACATCAGGTTTTGTGAAGATCTACATTTATCTAAAAAAGATTCTACTACCTCAATAATAAGCCATGGGCTAGCAAGGAGTTAAAGGAAATATTAAAGAGAAGAAGAAGGCATTCAAACTGAAAGATCAAGACAAATTAAAAACAACAAATAATATGTTAAAGAAAAAATTAATAAGAGAGTGTAAGAAGGTTTACAAAGAAAAGTTACAACATTTCACTTTTAACAACACAAAAAGGACGAGGCAAAGTTTAAAAACTATAGTTGGAGACATACCAAGACGGACAAACATTCCTACACGAGACACGAACCCAAGTCAGTATGTGAACAAACTGAATTCTTTTTACGCTCGTTTTGACAACCACAACTTCTCCGACCAGCTGACAACTGTCAAAGAGACGATTCATAATGACAGCACAGACGACAACTACAACACTAGGACAAGAGCAAGGAAATTTTTGTGAAGCTCACAAAGCAAGTGGACCTGATGGAGTAAAAAGTAAAATATTTACATGTGTTTTACAAAGTTATCTCCCATCTATACTTATAGTTTCAGTATGTCTTTGAAGAATGAATAATACCACTCTCATGGAAATGCTCTGAAATAATTCCAGTTCCAAAGAAACAATGCAAAATTTGAATGACCCAAGATCTGTGGCTTTAACATCAGTCCTTATGAAATGTATAGGAAAACTATTTCTGAAAGAACTGAGGAAATCAACAGAAGACATACAGGATAACATGCAATTTGCCTATCGTGCCAAGAGGGGCGAGAAGGATGCCATTCTCGTGTTCTTAGATAACACCTAAAAACACATAGACACACCAAGAAATTACTGCAGGATACTTTTTGCTGATTTTTCATCTGCTTTCAACACCAATCCAACCCCACATAATGGTTTCAAAATTAATGAACATAACATAAACAAGAACATTATAGCTTGGATTCTTGAGTTCTTAACCAATAGATCTCAATATGTAAAATTAAATAGTGTAAAATCCTACCTAATATTTATGAACACCGGTACGCCCCAAGGTTGTGTAATCTCCCCTGTCTTGTTTACGCTCTACACCAACGACTGTACTTTTGATAACAAAAACATCAAACAAATAAAATTTGCAGATGATTCCACTCTACAAGGTCTATTAAAAACAAATGAGAATGAATACAGGGACGCTGTAAATTTACAAATTGGTGTGATAACCACTTCCTTTAACTAAATGTAAAAAAGATAAAGGAAATTGGTAATAGACTTTAGAGTAAAAAAAGACCAATTGCAACCACTATTTATTAAACATGAGGGGGCGTAACAATCGACCACAAACTTGACTGGCATCCCCACGCTGCTCTTGTGCATAAAAAAGTAAATATCAAAGAATGCTCCTTTAAAAAAATTAAGAAGTTTCCGTGTTGATAATAAGATTATGTCCCTTTTATACCATTCTATGATTGAAAGCGTGCTATTATTTTGTATTTGCTGCTGGGCTGGGAATTGTAAGGTGAAAGATAAAGAAAAATTTGACAGAACCATTAAGAAAGCAAGCAAGATCTCTGGATATGATTTTACAAGAATTGATCGAAATGTGTAATGCCACAAGTATAAAAAACATAAAAAGCATCATAAACGACCCGTCACACCCCCTTTCCATGCAAACTGTGAGATCACGCAGTGGCAGATATGTTCCTCCAAAAACAAAGAAAGAAAAATATAAAAGAAGTTTTTTACCATCTAGCATAAGGCTATTGTCAGAATAAGCATAATGTTTATCGCTCTTTAGAGTATGTATCTATATATAACTCCAAAGGTCTTGTAATCAAATTCCTGATGTTGTTGCATGATACATCTGATGTGATATAATGTACTCTTGTCAGCTTTACTTCTCTTTTCATATTGAATTTTAATGAGAGTAATATACATGTATAATTACATTTTTTTAATGTATACCAGCATGTGTTTTTATGGTCCAGTTCAGGCAAGAAAAATTTCCCTCTGGGATAATAAAGTATTATCTTATCTTATCTTATTCGCATTGTTTGTGTGCAAACCGAAAAGCCTAACAGACACCTGTATTGTTAATGTTTTTTGGGGGGAAAAAATCCCCCAAACTAGCTTGATTTTTAAAACACACAGACCAGAATAGCTAAGACCACATTGTCCCCAATAATTGAAAATCAACACTGCTCACTTACCGACAAAACAAATATCTTCAGTCAAATGCACGTGCATATTGCGAAGAACATAAAGGGTAAACCAGCTACGACACTGCACGAGCCCTACAGACTCTTTCAACTGCACAAACATCGTCTTCAACGCAAAGGGAAGGATCTGTCGCCAGTATTTGGTGCACGCAACAGTCTCCAGACATTCTGGAACAAACTCCTTCTCCAACAACCTGACATCAAAAGAAAAGAATTTAGCAATGAACAAATTCCTCAGTTTGTGCAATATCCATGAGAAAGTAATTTAGCTTAGGGAATCACAGTCTTTTTCTTTTTTTTTTTTTTTTTGGGGGGGGGGGGGGGGGGAGATGACCCAAAACAAAATTAAAGACCAAAATATTTGTCCTTAGGAATACTGAGACTGGGATGGTGTGTTTGTCCCCCAAGGGATTTGCTGTCAAGTTCAGTGAGCCTTGCTGATGGAAAAATACAGGTGACAAAACAAAGGATATTGTCAAATTGGTCACTTTTAAGCACAAGGGGGTTATCCCGAAAAATGCTGTATTGAGGAAATCGAAGGTAAAGTTTTTGCCCCTTGTCAGTTTCTTTTAAAGATCAGGAGAGTTTTCTCTATAACCAAGCAAATATGCACACCAATGAAACCAAACTTCTCCTATGGGTAGTGCAAAGCCAACTCTTGGTGTAGGTCAAGATTTCTGGAAACCACCGAAATCTGGGTTAGCCCGCTTGTCCTTAAAAGTGACCAAAATATCTTCTCTCCTTAATTATTGAAGAAAAGTTCTCCAATTTTAGCAGAATGTCTTGTGTCAATTTGTCTTAACAGATATTTTTGTAAACACATTTTAGCTGTATTCTAGAAAATTCCTCAATAAATACTAAAATTTTAAAACTCCCAGGGGGTGTTTCTACGAATTTTAAAAGGTGTACATCCCATAAACTGGCATAATAAAATCGTTTTTAAAAGCAATTCCCTCCATTTTTTTCTAATCACGACATTATGCTTATTGAATGCACGTTTTGAAAACTTTTAGTCCAAAAAAGTGTTCACAATCAATTTAATTTTTGATTGGAAAAGAGAAATATCAAGGTTTTACAAAATTATTTATCCTGAATCACCCTGTATTTCCTGAAGGGCCATCTTCCAAAGGTGAGAGTTAAACACTTTTCCTACCGTGAGCCTCGCGGCTTGCGGCTCGCGGATGTGGCCTCGCTGGACCGAGAGCCACATAATATGGCTCAAGTGGCTCGCTATCTATTCCAATCCAGTAATGAAAAGACAAGAAATTCTTTGCCGATCCACATTTACGAAATAATAAATAGACTTCCAGTTAGCAGATATGAAAGAAAATATAGCACTGAGAGACGATTTTGAGTTATTTCAGCACTTTTTTCTGTCCACTTCGAAACATAAAAATGAAAAGAAAAAGTGCTCCCCTGATTTCAGTAAATGTCTCATATTTTCACTTTTATAATAGCTACATATACATAACTTTCAGCATTTCTTTGCATTACTTGAGGCAACCTACCTGGGAAGTTTGAATGATGTTGTTGTTGAACATTTTTCGTTATGACCTTTCAAAGCTTAAAAATTGTTGATTTCATATGACACTTTCTATATTGCATAATCACTTTTAGAAACCCCAAACTAATATAATTGTTGAAATAAATATTCAATATTGTACCACCATCTGATAGATTATCTTTTTACCTTCAGTTTGAAGGGCCATATGTTATGGTTTGTGCATGTTTAGTAGGATGTTTTGACATTTTCCGCTTGTGAGGTAGGAGGGTAAAAATAGGTCAGGGCAAAGCCCTGGGCCAGTGGTGGATTTTGGCCTGGCAGGAAAAGAGTTAATTGAGATTGACAAAAAAATTTGGAAGAAGACTGAAAATCACATCATGCAAAGAATGCTACTTTTGACTTAGCCAAAAACAAGCTTCAACATTGCTCTGCAAAAAAAGTTCCATACTAGCATTTGAAATAAAACTAAAACTCATTAACCCTGCACGTGAGCCACAACATAGTATTTCATGATCCAATCCTTACTCCAGAAAGGAAGTGGGGAAAGACTGAACTCCTCCATGTCATTAATCATGTTTTGATCACAATACTAAACTAAATGGACATTTTTAGTTCCACATAAAAATTTAATATGTAGCATGGACAACAAAGTTATTAAAAGTAAGATTCATACTTGATCCATATTGACGGATTCGATGAGTTTTCAATATTGTCTATGATGGCTTTGAAGCGCTTACACATACTTCGCAGTCTGATAAAACTGACGCCATCTGTATTGCAGAAAATCAGTTCCAGCAGTTCAGTTGGAAGCTGTGAAAAATTAAAAAAAACTGTTAAGGAAAAGAATTACAACTTTTCAGGAATGTGACTTTAAATGAACAAGGCAAAATCTAAAGGTAGAATGCACACATTTACTCTAACAAATATTTTAATTAAAAAATTTAACTAATACATAGCATTTGTATTGCGCATAACCCCGCTCGACAGCAAGCTCTATGCGCTTTACATATATTATTACCCCAGCAGACCATAGAACACTCCGAAACATTATCAGCTTCCCGGGAAACACACAGTGCAAGCAGCTGATTAAGCGTTCAAACACTAACAAACTGACAAGATCTTTCACTGTCTATAGCTGGGTACCCATTCCCACCTGGGTGAAGTGAGGAAAAGTCATGTAAAGTGCCATTCCCAAGGACACAACGTCGGGTCCCTGACAGGAATCGAACCCATGACCTTACGGTAGCGAGTCTGAGAGCCTAACCACTAGGCCACCGACTAGATTACACCCATTCAGATCCACCTCTCCAGGAGCACTGATAGCTCAATCAGTCTGTATCACAGAGGACTACAGATCAGAATGCCTAATAAAGGGACGTTTTAGAGGTTGAGTTGTATGAGGAGTACTCTAAACTGGGGTGACTTTGGCCACTTTTCTGGCAACCTGCTTCGATAACTATTTTAATCCAACATTTAAAACAGTACAAATTTTTTAATAAATTCATGGGGAAGGATGGTATACACTGAGTGAATGTTTTTCTTTCATTGATTATTTAATGTTTTGACAATAATGGGGTAATTTATATGGTGCCACAGCCACCCCGTTGTGGGGTGACTGGCCGGTCACTTCAATTATCATTGTAAAATAAGGTAAACTCTGGAATGGGTGAGATACGCCATTGAAATTACTAAAGTTGTCCTTTTATGATTGTCTGTAACACCAAAGTATGATCATGAATTTTGCTTTACTGTAGCAAAAGTCTGGGTGAGTTTATGGCATATGGCGAGCAAAGAGTGGTCATCCTTGAGCCTTGATGATTAATCAGTGGCATGAGGTATACCATTTTTATTATCGTATCGTGAGTCTCAATATCTACGCCTTTCCAGTTGCCCCTCCCTTTCACCTGTTCAAAATTTATAGCTTGCGTCTCTGAGTGAGTTCCCCCACCTTTGTCGTTGTGCATCATTACATTGAGGCAACCAATTAAAATTCAGTCTGTCTCGCAAATTCGGTACTGCTGCAATGGTCAGGAAAGAGTTCCAAGTTCGATGTGATCCTGCCTGGAGAAAATTTGTAGGCCCTACCCACCCCATGAGAGAAGCTGAGATGCGAGAGCAACGTTTGGGGAAAACAAACGCAATGGTTAGTTCACACCTCAGTGTGATCCCATCTAGGGCAAACATTGTACCATTTCACCGAGTTTTACAACGCCCATTATTCATTATGTGATCACATTCATGTGAGTGGTTGATCTTTGACGTGACTTTCAGTTCAGTCTCTCAACTCTTCACTTTTGGTTGATTTGCTGTGTCCGCCCGCGTTTTTATTCTGTAAATCATTATCTCTGAAATGTGGGATTATCTAACCAACTGTAGACCTCTATGTGTAGAATGAAGAGTGAATCAGAGCGGGATCTTAGGGGTGACTTTGTATAGCAAAAAGATTAAAACAGCGGGAAGCGAACCGGGATCTAAGGGGTGGGATATAAGGCGGAGACTACTGTATTAGGGCCTAAAATTTCAACTTTCTCAGATAAAAGAACATCTTGCTCCACTGTTCTTTGCATGCATGTCATGTCCTTTAAAAAGGTCACAGAACCCAAATTTGAAATTGACAAAGAAATGAACTATCATCATTGTTTTACTGGGAACATCAAGCAAATCTTAAAAAACAACCCCCCTCCAACAAAACCATACAAATAAAGGCTGCTAACTTAGTTTAGAAACTGCTGAAACTGAAAACTGGTCCCAACTCTGGGCTACCTCTCGTAACCCTCTAGATCTAGATATCTAGATCTATATCTTCATTCAATTAAATCTAGAAAATGAATAGATTCTATATTGCTGTTTGGTAAACATGAATTTAAATCAACGAAGTAAAAGTACATTTTTATGATTTTAGAGGTACGTGTAAATTATTAGACTCAATGTACAACAATAACACGTTAATAATTAATACTTGCGTTCGTAGCAGATCAGGACCCAAATAACAATAACAAGTTTACCTGCGTTTGTTTGTAGCTCATGCGTTTGTAGCACATTTATCTAAATGTATTACATCTATATTTGTGAAAGTCCATCACTTTGTTGGCCGTCTAAAACTTCCGAACCACTTTTGAATTTGAAAAAATTAACGGTGGTTCAGAATCATTTAAAGGGAGCAGTTTTATTGAGGAGTCTGAAGCCACTATAGTTTAATTTTCAGTCTTTCATTAGTTTCGTTTAGATCAAATCTTGGGAAAGTCTGTCTTAGACGTCATTGTGAAAAAGTGGCGTTTCCGTTCACAAGCTGTGCGCACTTTTTCCACAATGACTTGATGATCGACGATTCTTTTAAAAAAGTCTGTTCATCGAACGTGTACCCAGCTAGTAGGGGATAATTGTCAGCTTTACTCCTTACCATGACAAGGAAAGTCCTTGACATGAAACCTATTGCGAAAAACAAATTCAGGAAGATAGGATGGGAAGAGATCACGCGATGTGCCGAACTGTCAGCGCAATTTCCGTTTAGCCCGCGTCCATACGTATTCGGTGCGTATGTCTGGATTGTCCAGGTTCTCAAAGTAATGCTCATGAACAATAACAGATAGATCTAGATTCTATCTATCTAATTTACTCTCACGCCAATATTTGAAGTGTCTATTCAATTTACGATTTATGTGTCGTACATTGAACAGTAACATTGGGTCACATATATATATAAATGTAATAAGTTGCTGTTGTTGTACATTTGAGTTCAATAATTTACGCACCTAAAATGCACTTTTACCAGGGGATATTTCTGCCGTATTTCTATACAAATAAATCATTACACTGTTGAGACTCGGTGGAGGAGCAGGCTGTGTCATACTCCTTGTCCTAGGTGGTTCCATAACTTCCGACTTGTTGCAGCGCTTCCAAGACAAGTGTCTCAGTTAACTCTTGGCTTGAGCTTGATGTTTCTAAAATGCAGAAGCTAACACCGCATACAAATAAAAACTGCCGCACGATTCTTTTCCATAACAAAGTTTGCGCTTTTTGCGTTTCATTATAGCAAAGTGAATACTGGTCACATTCACTTTCACTATGAATGAGTTTATATTGAGTTCGCTCTTGGTGGAGAAGTAACAGTCCAGATTTAGTCATGAATGAAAATGAAAGTAGGAAATAGACTAAATCTGTTTCAACATTATCAAAACTATGTAACCTTAGAATTAATTTGATTTTGCCTAAAAACTGATTTTAAAAATTTTGGGAAAATAAATCTAAGCAAAAAAACCCTAAACAAACAGTAAACATCGTATTTACCTTTTATAATTAAATAATCAGCCCAGTTGTTAGATTTTCCATACAGATAGCTGACATTTTTTTTGTACGTTAACTTCGTGAAAAGAGTATAACAATCTGGCTGAATCTGGGCGGAAACAGGAATAGGGAAAACGTTTAAATTACTATTCGCTTCGATTTCTTATTCCAAGTGCCGTTCTCATTAGAAATAAATTTTTTTATAATTTTGATTTACAACACATATCCTTTGTAAGCCATTTGTTGTGTAACAGAGCAGTTCAATTCATGTAGACTATTTCTTTGTGTGGTCAGAATCATTGAATACTCGACAAACATCACATAAGCGAAGTTCATCTGCTTCTGGAACGTAAAGTGTTACGTTATATGGAAACCTAACATTATCATAGGATTGGTAGGACAATTGAGCTTTCTTTTTTAAACTGACTGATTTACGCCCCAGTAGACACAATTTAGATAATTTGGGAAGCAAGCTGCTTCGACCCTGCCTTCAAGGCAAACCTGGACTGAGTGGGGTAGGACGGGATCCCAGCAGACAGACGGACATTTTCAATAAAAACTACAGAGCTTCCCTTCTTGGGAATCGAACTCACGTATTCAGCATGCAACGGCTAAGAGCGTAACCGCCACACCACTAAAGCTGGTGTCAAGGGGATGTCTTACCACAGCCCAGTCACGATCCTACAATTCCAAACAAAGAACAAAACACAAAACGCAAAACGCTCTGTCATAGGGTTAACAAAACGTAAAACGCTCTGTCATAGGGTCAGTAAATGAGGCTGGGTGCAACTCTTTATTACCCTCTGGTTGTCTACGAGCATACCCAATATAGGCTGGATGATTCTTAAAATCGTAAGTGGCCTTTTAATAACAAAGCAAACGAACATAGTCCAGAAGGTTCATCAAGCATCTGTCTTGATAGATAGAGTCTAGATCAAGAGGTAACTGGAACCTAGGATAGGCCTCTTTTTTTCTTCTTAGGTCTGTCGAGAGGGTGTAGACAGCAGGTGTCATACAGGAGGACATTGATACTGTCGTCATCGTCGTCGTCGCTGGGGTGTGGGTGGGGAATGGGGGGGGGGGGATAGAGGTGCAAAGTAGGCCAAGGCCTACGTGTGATTTAAAACAATATTATATAGGCTATATATTGCCTCACTGAAAACTTTGACACGCTTAACGGGGTCGTCTTATAAAAAGCCTCAGGTCTCATCGCATTTACAGCCTGTTTCTTCTGGTCACACAAGTTATCTCTGCTACCTGCTGTACCCTTTGATCTAATACCGAAGAACCACAGGTGAGTCTTATTTAGTTCTTTGGTGGAACGTTACGTTTTCTCGTTCGCGTTATCATGGCGAACTAAAGGCAGGTGGGTGAGGTTACACATAAATGATAATTATGAAATTGCTAATTGTTCACAAGTCCAGATTTCTGCGTGTTCACTTGTCTTTTGCAGCAGCAGCAGCAGCAGCAGCAGTAGTAGTAGTAGTAGTAGTAGTAGTAGTAGTAGTAGTAGTAGTAGTAGTAGTAAAGAGAAGACAATATCGACCAAAGAACTGGCTATCCACCTGGGCATTTGCGAGCGAAAAAAAAGAAAGAAAATCGATAGGGGAAGAACAATTGCCTATTCGAGGCCGGGATAATCCTATCGATTCTGGAGTGAGTGAGTACTATAATATTATAATTACCCCGCGAGCTGCATGTTGGCTCGCCGGCTGTTGCTTTACACTTAGTCTCGGTCATGGTTCGATGAGAGTTTAGGTTTAACACTAAAATTAACACCCCTTTCAACACTGAAAGAGGTGGGGCCTCAGAATTGAATGTCCACCACGCTGATATAACCGTGCTAAAAGAGTGGAGAGCCGAAAAAACCCTCCGTAACTCGACCTAAATTCCGAATGTCCCTTTAGGGATTTGAACCATTGCCATCCGGTCCGTAGCCTTTTTTTTTTCTTTTTTTTTTTTTGGTTAGTGTTTTACGGGGTTAGCAACTGCATAAGGTCGTATTAGCGCGCGGGACACATTAAACATCTTCAGTTGGTAGGAAATTTTGAATTTTGTCCTGGTGGCTGCCGCAACCTACTCTTGTCGATTTTTTACCCCCAATGGATCTGTAACGTGCGCAACTTGCACTCGGGACCTCCAAGATTTTTGCCCTTGTCCGAGAAGGCTATGTGTAAATCTTTCCTACCAGAAGATCAGGGGTGTGACTTAAAGACAGCAGTAAATAGGAGCCAAGGAGTAGAAGTAGAAAGGCTGCAGAAAGAGACAGGAGCCCAGAGGAGGTGAGGGGGTGGTGACAGAAAGTGGAGACGAAAGCAGAACATTGTTTGAGAGCAGGAAAGGAGGTGAAAGGAGACAATTTTAAAGAAGAATTTTATTTTTCGCCGCTACCCGGATTTGAACCCAGGACCTTTGAATGAGAGGCGAAAACCTTAACCTTTAGGCTTCCGTAGTCTAGCATGATGCCAAATGAGCTAATTATTTGCGTCCAGATCTGGTATGTGCACAACTGTTCACATCTAATTTCATCCCTGCAGCCTGCAGCGCATTGGAGCAGTGTGCCCTTCCAACTTTACTACATGTGTTCAGAATGCATGCTATTTTTCGCTATTCACAGCCATTCAAAGATGTGTTAGTGCCAGACGCAACAGAAATGTGAAGTTTTTTTTTAGGAGACTTTTGAGAATATCATGGAATGAAAAGAAATCAAACGAGGAGGAAGTGAAAGAAACTCCTGTTGGCTGCACACTTAACAAGAACAATAAGGAAGTGAAAATTGCAGTTTCTGGGACACTTGAATTGACATACCCAAAAGGCTCTGAACATAATGGAACATTATTGCGTTCACTAGGGGGAAAAATAGAAGACAAAACGAGGCAGGGGTAGAATTTATTTAGAAAACCTGAACAAATGAAACTGGGAAACACCAGTATAATTGTAATTTAATATATTACATAATGTATAAATACTGTATAATCTTTTTCCATTTGAAAATCCGGCGGAGAAATGAATGAAAAACCATGTTCATCAGTGTCTGTTTCACATCTGGCACTGATTCATGCTGATGATGAATGGATTTTCCTTTCGTTTTTCTCATTCCACCGTAAAATTAGAAAATATTACAGTTAAATCCTGATGGCCTGTGCAGCTAGACTGTACTTGATGATTACAAGATAAAGTGATAAGCGTTGGCTAGCCAAAAAGAATTATGAAACATGCTTTTAAATAGTGTTCTCAGTTATTCAATATTCACAAGTCACACCACAAGTAGCCCATGGACCCTTGGCTTTCGGGGGGAGCACCACGGTACAGCTGCGCACTTTCGAACAAAAAGTATCAAATATCAAAGCCGTACCTTATCAGAGCCACGCGGTTTGCGACGATACAGTTTGATTGCCAATACCATCCCTCGATTATAATCACCTTGATAAAAATTATTTCGTGTTGTTTCCATAAAATAAGTGTCACATTAACTATTTTCCAGGTGAATCAATTGACAAAGTGATTGGGATCTGTTCGTGCCACATAGACATAAAACTGGTTTACAAAAACCGACACTTTTATTGTTACGTCTTAAATTGAAATGACTTTTTTTTCATTGAGCCACAATTGAGTAGCAAGAGTGTAAAAAAAATTTAATGGCCATTACTCGGATGAGTGCAGTGAGTTGTAACACGACGACAAAATAGAAAATCTAAAGCATCCATAATCTCAAATTAATATATGCTGGACCAAGGTCCAGATAAACGCAGAAAGGAATTAAATTGCTGGAGTACAGGTATTGCTAATCGGCATTCAAATTGTATCGATATCGTTAAATCGTGCGCGGCTTTGATACTTTTTTTTCGACAGTGCGCTTTTCTGACATCTTCCCGGCTCCCGAAGCGTAGCCCTACCACAGCGTATAGAATGCGGGAAATAATTAAATCTAACCGCCAAAGGTTGTCATAATAAGCTCGCCTTCCTTTATTTGAAATTCGGATCGTTATTAAAGGTCACGTGACGCCGTTGTAGGCCATAGCACTGACTATCTGTGTGTGTGTGTGTGTGTGTGTGTGTGTGTGTGTGTGTGTGTGTGTGTGTGTGTGTGTGTGTGTGTGTGTGTGTGTGCCATCCCGTGCTTAGTGAATAATAGTGTGAATAATGAAGAGGAAGTGTTGCTGGTATATTTAGGCCTATAAAAGGAGAACCCCCCCCCCAAAAAAAAAGGGGGGGGGGGACCCAACCCGTTCGCACACGGTATTTGAATAGCATGAATCGTCGATTCGTGCGTCAAAGCGTCAATGAAGTTTCAATTGGAAGTTCTGTTGAAAAGGCGACCTGCTTATTGCCCTTGAACCTCACACGAGGTCTTTTTTTAGACACCCTGTATTAAGGGTCACCGATTGTGCCGAAGGACAAAATTGATAAAGCAAAATTTTTTTTACAGATAGAAAATGGCTAAAAGGAAAAATTGTATCTACGGATATTTCCTCCGAACAGTCTCAAATGTATTTCATTTCCATCGACACATTAATTTTTATATAACTTAGGATGGGAACCGACTTGTTTATTGGCTATGCCTGTCAAAGCCAACTTGGACTGACGGGGGTGCATGAGTGCCCTTTAAGGAAAACAAAACTGTTCTGTAACATAAACGTCCCAACTAGGAAATCGAATTCTTGTCTTCAGCGTGGGAAACAAAACACCCCCACCCCCGCAAAAAGCAACAAATAATGAAAAGAAAGAAGGGAAACACCACCACCAACAACAACAACAATATCAACAACAACAACAACAACAACAACAACAAACAGCTCATGCCATAATAATACCACAGATGTCAATGTCCTGTCGGTAAAATGGACAGGATGTGCAACAACTTTCGACAAGTTTTCCTCGGACGTTTTAAAAATGGTTTGTCGTGGTCGTACCTTTCAGTACAGCGGAGACCACTTCTGTCTCAAGTTTTGTAGTTTTAGTAAAAGTTTAACGGTTCTTGCCACACAAATAGGTCATATATCTTCCGAAAATTTGGGGTGCTTCAAGGAAGTAACGTACTGCAAAGAAAAGAAGGAGAGAGAAGAACGATATAATGTGTTTGAGAGGAGGGAAGCGAACCACACCATAGCACCTGCAAACAACCCACACACCCGTCTTTTTACTCGTGGACGTGTACAAGTGCAGTATAACGTAACATTGTTCACTAATTCTCCGAACGTCTGTCTTACCCACCTACGAATGGCATGCCAAAAGTTTTTTTACCTGACCATGCAGGAATAAAGGTAAAAAGCTGAAATTTGGGGTGAAAGCCAACAACCATTTTTCTACAATGCTTGTAAATTTGGGGGAATTTCAGATTACTGGTTTTACCACCAGCGCACTGTAAGTGAATGGGAGTATGTTGTTCACCAATTTCAACATAAAAGAGGAGAAAATTGAGCGCAGGGCAGTAATGAAGTAATTTGTTCTTGCAAGGCAAGCAACTACATGATATTTTTACGGAGATGCATGCAGTATATGGAACTGATTGCCCATCCTATGCTGTGACAAAATTTTGGTGTAAAAAAGTGATGATGAGGTCAAAGAAGCGGTAGAGGGCTGGGTTTCTGGCATAGAGAGGGTCCTCTATTCTCAAGGTCTTTTCAAGGTCATACACAGATGGCAAACATGTATAACTCTGGGAGGCGACTACATAAAGAAAGACTAAGCTTAGTACCACATTTCAGCTTTCTACCTTTATTCCTTCATGGTCAGGTAAAAAACGTTTGGTATGCCCCTCGTATTACATCGTCTATTTATTCACTCTCCCAAAAGCCCACTCAAAACCTCACCCATAGACTTCTGTATATCATTCAGCTTCACCCTTTGGAAGGCCTGGCTATCTGCAATGGCCTTTAACTCAGTTAAGGTTAACGATAGTTTCCACCCCACCCCCACCCCCCCCACCCCCCAAAAAAAGAA